TTAGGTAGCAAGCACCCTGAGGTTTATGGCTGGTTTCACACAGGCGCACTTGATGTGGTAATATCTAATACTGTATTTCTAAGGGTTTTTCTTCTGGATTACTTGCATCTCTTAATATTTTTTCTTTAAATGAATAAACTGAAAATATATAAAAAAGTTGACTCATAAAATATGCACATTTAATGCACACTTTGCTGTCAGAGAATTTTTGTTATCTTACAGTACATTAGTGAAATCCATGATTAAAAGAGGATTTTTAAAAATTAGACTTGTAGTCTGGTCCCAATCCTATAGAAGAGTAAAATGTCCTTTCTTTTTAAAATAAAATGGTCACAAACTTGAGATAAATAAATATTCCAGACATTTCCCAAATGAAAAAGTTTATTCACCTTAACTATGTAAACACATTACATCCAAGAAATGGTTATATCTTGGATATTTTCATTTTACTGTTGTATTAATAGAATCAGGGAGAAAAATATTAATGACATTGTGATGATATCATTGACATCTGTACAGTTAAAGGCTAGCTTACATCCAGAGAAAGGAAGAATAATTAACATGCCCTAGCTTTGGGCACAGATGGCTTTTCCCCTAGAGACACTGCCATGGAAACTTGGTGGCCCAGAAGTGACTGCCTGTCAGTGGACAGGCATTACCGAGAGTTCTCTAAGTTGCCATGGCTTTTGTTGTTGAAAGACTTATGCAGAGAAATAGTTTCCATGAGAGAATGGTGGGAGGGGATCAGGATGGGGTGCTCTCTGGGAATCTATTCCAACCCATCCACATATTGGACACAGTGATGACTTGTGATTGTTGTTCACCTGAAAGCTATAAGTGGATAACAATGGAAGTGATCATGTTGGGAAGGAAAGACAGTGGTGCCCATACTCAAATATATAGTGGGTGAGCTGGGACTAGACAGAGGAAAAGCATGCAACCCAGGCTGAAACATCAGATAGTGGTTTATGTGACCATCTGGGTCTCATCCACAGCACCTCTGCTACCCCTGAGCAAAGAGCAGCTTTCATTTACTTATCCACCACTTATTTTCTGCTTTTCTCTCCAAGGGGTGAAGGGGAATAAGTGCCAGACACTGTGCTAAAAAACAAAACAAGTATCTCATCTGATCCTCACAACAACACTGGGAGGCAGGTGCCATTATTATGCCCATTTTACAGCTGAGGAAACTGAGGTCAAGTGACTTTAGTATCTGAGACTGGATTTGAACTCGGGCTTTCCTGAGTCTAGCCCAGCACCCTATCCACTGACCAGCTGTCTCTCCAATCTGGTGGGAGAAGGGATATAGAAATGAAGAAGGTCACTTGTTCTCTTCCTGGCATGTAGGCAATGCTAGCATTTTGGAAGGTGTATTTTTTTTAATTGTTTACTTTTGCTACTATGTTGTTTTTAAATTTCTTTTTACTTTTGCTTCTATGCTTAGGTAGCTAGGTAGACAGAGAATTTCCCAGCTTTGCCAAACAAATATTGAGAACCTAATAACTACTACCAGGGGTTACAACTGTAATCCTTTTTCTCACTATGGAAGACAATTTTGACAAGACCATGGCCGTAGAAAAATTACATGTGACAGACGGAGAGCAATTGCATAGGACACTATCACTTCAATGATCTACTGTTTTGTCTATGTGGGTGCCAAGACTGCCAACTCATATCACAATCCTTTTTTTTTTAAGAAAGTGAAAAAACTATACTCCTATCTGTACTTAGAGCTCTTTAGTTCTCTCTCTGGAGGATGATAGCATTTTTCAATAGTCTTTTGGAGGAAGAAGAAGAAGGATGAGGAGAAGGAGAAGGAGAAGAAGAACAAGAAGAAAAAGAAGAAAAGAAGAAGAAGAAGAAGAAGAGGAGGAGGAGGAGGAAGAGGAGGAAGAGGAGGAGGAAAAGAGGAAGGGGAGGAGGAAAAATGAGGATGGGGAAGAGGAAAAAAGGAGGAGGGAAAGGTGATGATGAGAAAGAGGATGACAGATGATAATGATGATGATGATAACATCCCCAGGAACAACAATTATGGTTTATATAGCACTTTAAAGTTTGCAAAATGCTTTACACACATTTAATTTGATTCTCATTATAGCTCTGTAAAGTAGGTACTATTATTATTATCCCAGCTAAGAAAATTGAGGCTTAGAGAGGTTAAGTGACTTGCCAAGGGTCACACAGCTAGTAAATAGATGAATCAGGTTTTGAACCCAAGCCAAGGTAATTTGAAGTGGAAAGAGCACTAGTAATTGTAGGAATAAAGGAAGTCTTCTTATTAACTTTCATTTGCAACATGAATAGAAACTACTCACTTTGTTATTTTTTTCTACCAACAAGTGAGAAAAGTGAGAAAAAGTGAGAAAAGCCCATAACTCCTGGGTGATGAATATCTAATATATCACCTAAGGGAAATGCTACGCATTGCACTGTCCATCATCAGTAGATTGAGAAAAGAAAATATTCTCAAAGTATTTCTACTTGGGTGAGGATAACAAGCCACATTCACCTCTGTCTCAGGACAAGTTGCTTTTTCACGCCTTAACTTATGAGAAAGTCCAGATTTACCTGCACCCTGTACCCAAAGACCTGGAACTTATGATTTAGAGCAGGAGAAGTTACAATTATTTCTAAGGTTCCTTCCAGCTCTAAAATCCCATATTTAGAATTTAACCCCCTCATTTTAGAGATGGGAAAACAGTCTCACCACCCTTATTACTTTTCTTCAGCTGTGCCTCAGTAATAAAAGAAAACTTGGGCTGTCTTTTTATTTTTTTCTCCAATAATCCCCCCTTTTCTTATGTGGGCCAGGGGTTGGAAACCTTTTAAAAGTGTTGTGCCAAGCTATGACCTATTTTTTGTGGCATTAGGGGCTGGGAGATGGGAGGTGGAGGAAGAGAAGGAAAGGCCGATTGTCCAGTCATTGATTGGCAGTTGGAGAAGAGAATTTACACCTGTTCTTGAGTCTCCCAGCTGGCCTGCTGAAAGCAGCCCTTCTGGTGCAGAGGCCAGGGCAGTGAGCTCAATAGCAGTAAAATGCTCTTTGGCCAAAGAAATTGGGGGTATGTGTGCCATCTTTGAAAAGCATACCTTCTTGTTTTCAAAGATATATAGTTATATCTGAACCTGCTATGATTCAGCATCAAAAGCTCAAGTAATATTTTTCTCATTTATTTCATGCCCATAGTAGCTGGGTGTTTCAACATTATAAAGACTTTAAGTATAAGAATGTGCCCCGCTGGTCTTCTAGTTACTTAGGTATTTATCAGAATAAAGAAATCCATGGGGCATAGCATTGGGTTAGCAAATTTCATTTCTTCACAACTGTAGTTATTCATGGCACAGTGACAAGGCATTTTGGGGAATGTGACTGTTGCTTTTCCTCCCTTCCCCCTCTGACCAAATTTTAATTGTATGTTAAAAAAAAAGTATAATGTTATGCCTCCGGAAACATTGAGGTGCCCTATATAGGAATGATGGTTTCCTGGAAAGCATGTTTTCCTTTCCCTCTTGCCTTCTACTCCACTCTCAACCCTAAACTGCTGATAGTTGCTGATTTTGTCTGTAACAAGGAGGGTAGGGTCATGCTGTTTCAATTTCTATAATTCTCACAGTGAGTCTCCTGGGTCCATAAAGGACTCAGAGCAGACCATGGGATCATGATGCTCTCTGCTACCTTGTATCCCTTCCTACTACCCCAAACTCTAAGCTTGAGACTCAGAGAACACCTTTCATGATCAGGGCCAGCTGGATCACCCAAAGACCCTTTTCTCTTTTATTAATGAATTTTACTCTAATGGAGTAAAATTCCCTTATTACTTCAAGTAGCTTGGAATCCAGGCAAGCACCAAATGTAGCTGTTGACAAGTCAAGATGAAATAATGCCTGTCACATTTTGCCTAAAGGGCAAAGTAACTTCCAACTTAATTTAGAAGGAAAAAGTTGGCAGAACAAAACAATGTACCTTTTCAAAAAATCTTTCTCTATTGCCCCCAAATGAGTAATTTAAATAAAAATGACACCTGGCAAGCAACATTGTTCAACTCTCAGAAATCTGGATGCCAAACTGAAGACCTACCAAGGAAGACAGAAGATGCATAACTACAGACGCAAAGAAGAAATCTGTAAATTATTGGACTACAAAAATTGTTCCACATGCCATTTGCCTTTCGGATAGCTCTCTACCTAAAGTCTAATCTCACCAGCCTTTGTAATATGAAACCTACTGTAGATAAGACAAAATATACAGATAGTCTGTTTTGGAGCAGGATATTAAATTGGTTCCAGAAACCAAGTTACATGACAAACAGTTTAATGGCATTGCTAAAACTGGAAGATTTGATTTCATAATTATCCATTATTAATGGAAAGAAAATCAAATAGATTCTGAATAAGCTTTTGCCATTAGCATGGGGCAATCTCATGTTAATATTTTGGAGGGCAGAAATCTCAGGTAATTTTATTGGTCTTTTAACTACAGAATATAATTTCAAAATTGGTTACAGAAAGGAAAAGAGGTGACTGATTTTTCTTGAAAGTTTTTGCAGTATACAAACACGTTAATAGGTTAAAATATAGGTTAAAAAGAAGTGCCCAATTTACCTTCATAGCTGAGTCATGAAGAAGAAAAATTAATTCTAAAGATTCAGGCACTAATTATTTATTATTTCAAAGACACTTTCAGTTGTACTCTCACAATTGTGAAATAACTTTTTGCAAAGTTAATTTAGTTTCTAAAAGAACTCTAAATTACCGCTATTTTTCAAAGAAAGATTTCTAAAATATTTGTGAAACACATCACAAGCAAAATAATCCAGTAAGCAACATTCCCATGTGAAAGGAATCATTTTCCTGAAATCAGGAATGAGTTAACTATCAGTTATACCATATCACCTAGCTACAGAAAGACTTAAGAGAAACAAAACGTAAATAGGATGTGACTAGAACATTTTAGAACTATTATCTCAACAGTCAAGAAACTTCTTTTCTTCTGTACTTACAGTCTTTAAATACAAGATCTGGGTCTCTGTGAGGCAAGACTTGGGCAATGATGTGTTTCAGGGATTCCAAGGTTCTATCCATCTTGGCTCTGCCTTTTCGAGACTGCACGCACAAAGTGTCCTCATGCCTGAATTATTCCAGCCCTGTACTGAATTTGTGCAGTTCATTGATGCACTGGATTACCAAAGAATCTCTTTTAACATCTGCCAATCAGACATTGCCCAGAACCTAAAGACCTCTCAGTGGGCCCTCCTCCCTGGCTCACTTATCTTTGTTGTATGCTGAGCTAATTAGCTACAAAGGCTAGCTGACAGGCTAGCTCCTACCGCTTACCTTCTGTTAAACACACCCACCTACAGGCTAGCTGGGGAAACTAATCATATGAAAAGCTTTTCCCTTTCCTTCCAAATATTGCCTAAATGGATCGAAGCAGACTGATTTTGGCTTTTTATTGTTGTTGTTGTTAAATTGTGGTTCCTGCTTCCTGCTCCTCTTCCTTTAGGAGTTTGAAAACAAAATGTAAGATCTCTCAACTAAATTTCTTACATATCAAATGTAAAAAGTCCCTTCCAGTGAAGATGAGTATAACAAATACAGTCATTCAACTTCTCATTTTGCAAAGGATTATTATATGTAAGATAAAGGGGCAGCTAGGTGGCTTAGTGGACAGAGTGCTGGGCCTGGAGTAAGGAAGACTTATCTTCCTGAGTTCAAATCTGACCTCAGATACCTCCTAGCTGTGTACTCTGGGTGAGTCACTTAACTCTGCCTCAGTTTCCTCATCTGTAAAATGAGTTGGACAAAGAAATGACAAACCATCTTTGCCAAGAAAACCCCAAATGGGGTCACAGAGAGTCGGATATGGCTAAAACAACTCAACAACAACAAAATTTGGGAAACAATAGGGTAAGGCTTGCTGTTTGAATTCACAAAAATCAATCACAGAAGCCAAGCTCTCCTGCCATAACCATAATCAATTCTGATGGCTATGGCAAATAGCCATACAGCTGGACTTGTCTCACAGTTGGCCAGGGTATATTTTTCTGCTATTAACCCTTTAAAGGAAAATCCATTCACTAATTCCCTACAACTATTTGGAATAATGTATAGGTTTCCAAAGTGGGTGATACTGCCCCCTGGGGGATGCTGGAACAATGCGGGGCGGGGGGGGGGGGGGGGAGGGGGGGTGGTAGTGGGAGTAGCCTTGGGTGCAATTAGAGGTTGTTGAATAAAAATAAGGGGACTGTGGAAGCATAAGGAAAGGAAAGAAGAGACAATAAGAAAAGTTTGAATACCATTTGTACATGTTTCATCTATTGTGTAATAGAGTCAAAGTCATAATGGTTGTATTATTTTTCAAATAAATACACAAAATGCAAGTTATAACACATCAGTGGTCAAGTCTGCTAACAGGTCTTAACAAGCAAGTGTTGGCAGGCCAATGTGTCACACATTGTCCAGGATCAGCAAGAATATATGCAAGTAATAACTTGTTATGCAATATTGCATCATCAAAATTTCAATGCGGGAAAACCCCACAAATTTACAATAAATTATTAAATTTAAGATGAATCATTTTTTAAAAATATTTTATTTTTTTTGAAGTGATGCAAATTTCAAAAAAAAAAATTAAAGGGTTAAAGAAAGTAGATTTTAAGAGGCAGCTAGGTAGCACTGTGAATAGAACACTGGCCCTGGAATCAGGTAGGACTGGAGTTCAAATCTGGCCTCAGACACTTGACACTTAGCAGCTGTGTGACCCTGGGCAAGTCACTTACCCCCATTGCCTAGCAAAAAACAAAAAAAGAAAGTAGATTTCCAGGGGCACAATGAGTAATTTTTTTTAAAGGGGGCAGTAGACCAAATAAGTTTGGGAACTATTTTAGATATAACTTTCATCTTTTCACTTTCACAAGGATGATGCTTTCTAAAGAGAATTAGTAAATCTGAGAAATTGAGAAGAATAACTAGGATGTATTTTGAAAGGAGTTCGTGAAAATGATATGATGCTCTGAAAATGATGGATCAGATGAATCAGTAGAGAGAAATCCCATCTTTCTTCCCCACTGTTTTATACCTCACATAATAGCCTATTTAGTAAAAATCTGACTGAGAAAGGAAGAGGAGGACTTTGGGATTATGTTGCAGCAGAAAGGATCTGGGATTGAGAAAAAGATGTGAGACACTGGAGTAGGGATGGGGAATATGGGGCCTTGAGGCCACATGTGGTCTTCTAGGTCCTCAAGCGCAGCCCTTTGACTGAATCCAAGGATTCACTCCAAGTCACTTCACTTTGTTTTCTTTAGTTTTCTCATCTGTAAAATGAGCTGGAGAAGGAAAGAGCAAACCACTTCAGTATCCATGCCAAGAAAACCCCAAATGGGGTCAGAGGTGGACAGAACTGAAACAACTGAACAACAACAAACAGTAACAATAACAACAAATTAGATTTTAATGCTACTTGTGGAAAATACATCCTTATACCACATAATGGGTCCTCCTCCTTTTTCTGAACATACATTTCCTAAATGACACTTCATACGATACTTCTTGAGTATAGGCCAGCCCTACCTTAACAGGTACACTCCTTTAAGTCACCCTCTGTCTTAGGCTAAGGATCTCCTTTTTTTCTTAAAGGGCACAGTAGCATCCCAACTGAGTCTGCAACTGGGGTTGAAGATTGGAAGTAGTAGGTAGAGACTACAGTGCCCATTGAAAATTGCAAGACAAGGGAGTACAGTGGATTAATATCCATGAAACAGAGAACTCTTATGAAGATGAAATCAAGCCTAGGAGCAGAAGGACTACTTCAGAACAGATACCACACTCAGCAGTCAATCTCATTAGGATTCTACAAAGTAAGAAGTGACATTGAGGTCCTACAGTTCTGAAGTTGCGTATTGCCTTGGCCACATGTTTATGTCTCACTCCTGTTGTACATTAAGTTTGTGTTAGTACTTGCTATGTCATTTAAATAAATCCCTTATTAATAGCTAATTGAGACTACTGGCTGATTTTTAATGGAAGCACATAAGTAGGGACTAGTAGAGACCCATAAAGTTAACCCTAGAAACTGAAAAGCAGCCACCCTCAGAGTACCCAACCTATGAATATGGAGTGCTGAGTTAGGGCAGTAGACCATAAGGAGTATTTGAATAGTTTAAAAATATTTTGTGAGATGGTGTTAGAAAGATAGATGACACTAAAAAATGAGAATTTTGGTTGCTGGGGGAACATCATTTTCTACAGGCTATAGTGTCATCAGACATTAATGTGCCTTCCATTACCAGTGTAACTAATACCCAGTCAACAAGTTAATAAAATGACCAATCCTGATGCTGCTACAGGGGCTTGTGACAAATGACAAGAACATTATAGATTTCACCTGCAGGGTCCTCAGAATTCATTCTCTCTAAAGAAGTATACTATACTATAATACAAACACAGCCATGTATGGTTCAGACTTATGTAAACATTAAGACCTTTGATGACTTGATATAATTTAGGAATCTTACATTTGGGGAAAATAAAAGGAATTCTGATAAATATGGATTTCACAGAATTAGACATTGGAGGCTAGCCTGTTCCAAACTCAAACTCCATTTCTTCAGCAGTTTTCCTTTGGAAATCTTTTGCTTACACATCTCCCGATAAGCAACTCAAGGAGAATTTTCACCTGTAAGTACCATGATAAGACTGCTTAGGAAAAACAAGCAGCATGGTTTCTCATCTTTCTTTTTGATGGAAGCAGTATGGTCTCAATCTCATGTTCTCAGACACCACTGAAACAACTGAACAACAAATACACTGAAGAAGAGTTGCTAATCTAAACTGATAGTTTCCTTACATGTAGCCGCCTATACTAATGAAAGAAAAAATGTGAAAGTAGAATCAATGGCTAAGAATAGAAGATAGAAAACATTGAACATGACAGTGGAAGGTTCACTGAGAAGGGGCAAGGGAAAAGATATGGGGGGAATGATGGTGATGGTAAAAGGAAAGATGTCAATAAAAATACAATTAAAAAATTTAAAACCAAAGCAGTGGATACCCTGAAAAAGAGAATGGAGGAGAAAGAACTAAAAAAACAAAGCAAAACAAACAAAACAAAACAAAACAAAAAAGAGTCAAAAAGAATTCTAGCAATGCCAAAAGACAGAAAAATTGGAAAAACATGAGACATTTATAATAATAATAATAATCATAATAAACAATTGGCCTGGATCCAGAATCCTGAATGACAGGGAAATGAGAGGTTTCCTAAGGGTAACTAATTTGCCTCACCAAATCATAAAGAGACACACAATGCCGAAAACTCAGTAATGTTAGGAATTGGATAGGCTAGCAAACTTATCACAAGGTGATTCTTTAAAAAAAAATATTTCAAGACCAACTCAGAAGGTCACTCCTGGTGTTTCCATCCAGCCTTCTGTCTCTCATACCTCAGCACTGGCCTGGGGACCTCCCTATAGCCTCTATGACTGACTTTGGTAGAATCACTCTTTGGTACTCTTGACAGGAGTTATGGGGTATCCTTGCTCTCAGATCAGGTGGAGGTCCTGTTGCTGTGGGTAATCACACCTTTGGTTTCCATTCTGTTACAGTGGGTGTACTGGCTTGTAGCAATGCTAAATGCAGCACAGGAGGAAAAAAAAGTCAGCAAAAAGGAGTGAAAGGAAGGGAGAGAGGAGACCTAAATGCAAAGACCTCCTTTTGGCAGTGTCTTGGGAGACCCTCCATGACCACCTCATGATCAACCCCTTGTGGCCAACCTAATGATTAAAGAAAAGATAATTGTAGAGAGTAGAATGGAACTGAGAAGATCAGGACAGAGAAACTTGAAAAATAAGACCACTGACAGTAGCTACTCAGAGAGTCTCTGTAGCAACGGTGGGAGAACTGGGGGATCCAAGAAGGGATAGAACCTTCACTTTGGGTGGATATATTGATGATAACTGACAATAAAAAGAAGGTAGAGCTGCTAAACTTCTATTTTGTTTCTATTTTTCTATGTAGGAGAATGATATTTGCATTGGAAATGACTGAAGAAAAATGACTAACAGGGAGTTAATACTTACCTA